GTACAGTGTATCCCCCTTGGATTTGCCCTCCTAGGCATATCTGTGCCTATTTTCTACTATGGTTATTTCTTATGCTTCTGGGTTTTGCTGGTTGCCACATGGAGCTGGGCTGGAATCCCCTTCCCCTCCCCTGCTGCTACATGTCGGGGTTTTCTTAAGCCTTCCTCATTGGCATTGGGTGTTGGCTGAAGTCAAGACTAGGGATCTTGACTGGGGTGTGCCATTGCTCCTGCTGTGACTTCAACCTGGAGGTTCCTGGCTAGAGGGTCTTCCTTTTTGCTCAGAGACAAAACAAGTGCCATGTTTGGGGTTAGGAGGGAATTATATCCTATGGTCAGAGTGTATCATAGAATCATAGAAGTAGGGTCGGAAGGGACCTTGTAGATCTTCAAGTCCTACCCCCTGCCTGGGCAGGAGGAAAACTGGGCTCAAATGACCCCAGACAGGTAGGCATCAAGCTTCTTCTTAAAGACCCCCAGGGTAGGAGCAAGTACCACTTCCTGTGGAAGTTGGTTCCAGATCCTAGCCGCCCTGACTGTGAAGTAGTAGATTCTATGAGCATTCCTATACCTAGTAAACAAATTCCCTTCAGCTGTCTTTAATCTCCCTGCCTGGCTTGGTTTTACTGGAGTAGGTCTGAGGAAAGTGCATTTCTGTCATACACATGCACATCTCCAGAAAATTAGGGTTGTATTTGCATTTCTTTCTTCCATCTACCAGCATAGGCTGGTAAAGGTCGATGCTCCAGGTCTACTCTTAACACATGTCCCAGATATTTCCGTTTTCTGGACAACTTAGGCAATAAGGAGTTGTTCAATTCTCTGATGATTCCAGCATTTGTTATGAATTTATTCCATGTAATACCTTATGTTTTCCTGAGGCACTTGCTTTCAAAGGCATTGAGATATCTGCCTGTACCTTTGATGGGATTCCAACTTTCAAATCCATATGGAAATGATGTCTGAGTGGGAGATTTGTAGGTCAGCTTGCAAGGTGTAGGTCTTCAGTGACCAAATCTTCTGTCAGCTGGTGCTGCTTTGCCAATACATGACACCATTTACTTCTGGATGTCCTTTGCATGTCCTTTCCAAGGTGTGTGACTTGACTGTCCACTTTTATTCCTTTACGCTCTAACATAATGCTTGAGTTGAAAAGTCCTGGGTTTCTCATCAGATTTCTCAACTTAAGCAATTACCAACCCTCTTTATTTGATGTACTGTGCAAGTTTTTGGTCTTGCCTACTTGGGGAATTGACACTTGGAAGAGCTATGTCTTCAGCAACCTCTAAACCTAAATCTAATTCTAGAGTGCGGTTGCTAAGCCATAAGATTCTTGTGTTGTAGCTTTGTACACTTTTTCCACAATAAAGGAGTGCCAAGCAAGGGAGAGACAAGGGAGTGCAGCCTTGCTTGACACCAGTGTCTATGGTAACCCATTGCTGGATATTTTTTTGTAAATACAGAAGCACCTGACTCAGTCTCCAACTTCCCTTCCCACAGCAGTAACAGCCTGTAGGATTCTGAATACAAGTAAATGGTTCAGGTAAAAAGGATGGAAGAACAGCGAAGATGTGCAAAGAGCATCTCAAGATAGATGGGGTTGGCAGAGCCCTAGACAGAGTTTGAGGGCAAGGAAGGGAACCAGATTCAGAATCTCACTGGACTGGGCTGTGCACTGCTTTAGAGCCTAAGCCCATGAATAGTTGTGCAGATACAGAACTACAACATCCAGTATCTTAAGTTATCAATATCAGGTCTGACTGGATGCAGTGTGGTTTATCCAAGTCATCATAAGTAAGTGACAACTTGAAACAGTAAGCACTGGGCTCATGCAATGCACTGTTCGCAATCAGCACAGAAAGGAAAAACATCTTACAAAAATATCGTAAATCCAAATAACACATTTAAGGAATTGGGATTTGATGAAAAATGTAATTTATTGTGTTTTACATACCAAACTGTAATAATTGCAATAAGGGGTCTGACTCAACAGAGAATAGGCAAATCTGTGCTTTAAGAGCCATCAGCCCATGATAACAATTTGTACTGGTGTGATGCCATTCAGTTGTCTTATGGCTTTGTATAAAATATTAAGTAAGATTTGTCACACTGTTGTCAGCTATCTAAGTATTATTATCCTCAGCTTACAAAAGCGGAAGTGGAGGTATGAGTTAAATGATGTATCCAAAATCATGCAACAGGGAAGAATTTCTCAGGGTGATATCTTGGATCAACTACATAGTTGGGGTAGAGTTAGATAAACTTTTGAATGCAAGAATGTCTTTCATTTGAAAGCTTGTCTAACTTTGTCCTAGTTATGCAGTGAGTCCAATAGAAGATATTACCCTAAAACATCCTTGCCTCATGTAATTCCTGGACCATCACAGCTACAACATCACTCAAACACTTATCCAAGATCAGACCCAGGAAGGCTGTGGTGGAAGCAG